GTAACGCGCGTGACGTCACTCCACACCCCCCCCCCCCGCCGTCATGAATATTCATGAGCGAGTGGATTTTTACACTCATGCAGAAGGTCGAGCGGAAATATATTTTTTTCGCAAATTCGCTTTAAGTTTCACGTTTCTTTATTGAATGTGAATCTAATAAAAATTATACGCAGCAACAAAGTGGATATGGTGTCTTTATTTATTTTTTCAGCACTACATTATACTGAAATAGACATTTCTCTATGATTTTCCAGATATTGTATCGAATTCCAATTTATCTCAACCTCAGCGACCGAAAGCAGAAGAGAATAAAGTATCAGAGCAGTGAATCTTAACAAATTGAAAGTTAGTAATATACAGTGCTACAATGACATGAAGTCAGGCGTTTTATGACATAGTTTCGTGCAAGAATCACTACCATTAAATTTACACAATATACGAGGGATGGAATTTGCAAGTGAATGTAACCGCAGAGAGGGTAGGGCTTGGTGACCTCGGCTAATGCGAGGAGGGGGGAGCTGTCACAACGGGCGGGAGGGTGGGGTGACATTTACAGAGGGGAAAAGGTGATAGAGAGAAAAGAAAAAAATATCAAACTTAGCAAACTTAGAAATGTAATGCAACTCAGAGAGGCTTTACATTTACTTGCAAATTCCATCCCTAGTCCCGCCCACTTACCTTTGGGTTGTGCCCACCACAAACGTGTATAACCCTTGGTTGTAGTAGCTCTCTCGCTACATTTCCTCCTCAGCAGTCCGCCTGCTGTATATATTTTTTTTCACCTGAAGACGATGGCTTGTGTTGCTATCAAAACGTCGTGATTTATTAGTAAAAAAAATTATCTACGTGACTTTACCGAAAGAACCAAAGAGTATGAATTCCTGCAGTCACGAAAGCTTAAAATCAAGATTGAGTATAATTTACACGCGATAAATAAGCAACTAAACACTACAGGTTTCACAAAGCCGAAGGGCTGGAGGTGATTTACATGATAGTGACAATGATATCAGGGAGCTATAATTAAATGCACAAATCGTAAACGATCACAATTTCCATCAGCACCCTGTGCGATGTGGGACGGCTGTGAAGAGGCGTGAGCTCCTGCTGATCAATACCACGATGGGTCGTGTGATTTTGACAAAAGCTTTAGGAGCTCGCGGAACACGTTACAAACGGCTTGGTACAGGTGTAGAGGTGTTAACTACGCGCTGTTGCGTAACCTGCATTGCCACCAGGGCAGTGCAGCATTACCCCTGGGTACAACGGTTGGGGTCAGTCGAGGTGAAACGGATCGTGGCCAGGGTTTGGTGCGAACCAATCAGACGGTTCCACGTGGGAATGTATGATTGGTTCTACCCGGCCACGAAGGGGTATAAGACGGGTGACCCAACGGACCTCGGGGAGTTCTCTCCCTGCACGAAGATAGAAGACTGGGCTGAAGCCTAGCTAGGACCCTGGACCAGCCTTTCAGCCTTTCTAAGGGCTAAGGCTCGGCATACCCAGTGGTCAGGACCCACCGGGCCAGCGGTGGGTCAGATAGCCTCCCCTAGGTCCTAGCCGGAGGACTAGGATAGCGGTAGATGTGTGAGTCCCGCCAAGTCCGGAGGTTGTACCTCCTTAGGTATCAAGGAGGTTAGCGGTAGACGTGTGAGTCCCGCCAAGTCCGGAGGCTGTACCTCCCTAGGGTATCGGGTGAGGGGACCGAATATCCCTCTGTGTGTGTTAAGCGTTGTATAAGGAAATAATGCAATAAACAGAGTGTGCCTCCTAAAGAAGTCTGCTCGTCCTTACAACACTACACAGGCATGGCGTGCAAACGAAGGAGCCTCAAGCTCGTAGTTGGGCACCGTGCCGTGGCAGCTCTGATCCACCCTCACCTCCCCACTCTGCCCGTGGAGGGAGCACAGCTGCAGCGTGGCCTCCCTACCTCGTGGCTCAGTGAATCGTCCTCACCATGGCCACGAGATCATGCCACGCTTTATTGTGGATGTATTTTTTGATGACCTTTCAGATCCCCCCACCCTTCCTCGCTGTGATGATATAGTCCAGTCTAGTTCATGAGCAGTATGTTGTCGTCACGTTTACGTATTTGGCTCTTTTGGGGGAAATAGACAATTAACACCGTTTGGCTGAACATAGCGCTTCTGCAAATGTATTTTATTGGTTCGCCCCAGGGCACGCAGCTCGTACGGCGCGGCTCTGGAAACGGCATCCCGTTTATTTTAATCAAGCTCGCAGTTCGGCGCATTGCTACGCAGAATTATGAAAGCGCTTCATACGTCCGTGGCCACATCATCTCCGTCGCTGCCGACCTTGAGTTATTTTACTTGCGTGTAATTGGCTCCAGAGGGATGATGCATCCATTGTGCCTGGTATTCGCGCGTCTCCGCTCCTGTGCTCGGCACAGCGCAGGAGGACGGAAGCGTCGAGGCGCACGATCCGGCCTCGTTACCCCTGGCGCCGTTCACTCAACGCTGGCGAAAGGCGTCACCGCTCAAGGACTTCTATTGATACAACTAGGACAGTTAAAACCGGGGCTTTTTGCATACCTGGTAACTGCATGAAAATAAATGGTAAAATATGGTTCCGGTTTGCTGCATTGACATAAACGTGTAGAGTAACAAACGGGAGTTCTACCATTTTAGCCGAGAGACGAGGGCAGATGCCAATGGAGTAACACTAGGCTTGCCACACGGAGGCCGCCGGTTCGATTCCATTGAAACAATTGGATGACTTTCGTGATTTAACAATGCTGACATTTTGTTCGAGAGTAGCAATGGTCATAAACATTTATATTTTGTCCATGTTATTGTGAGATGCACCTGGCCAGCAGACGCAAATGTTTCAGGAACACGTACCTCTCTCTACCATGGAGCAGTTGCGTGCGAATGGTGCGAGAAGCAAGTTTGGTGGTAGGGTGGTTGAGCGAGCGTCGCTTGGCGCGTTTTGTGGTGAATAGGGATCTCATAAAAGCTCTGGGGAATGGATAATTATTTATCCTTTACTGCGCGCTGACGTGCCGCTTGCGTGAGATCAGACAATCGCGTGCGGGCGGCAGCATCTATCCTGTGGCATGCAATGATGATGATGACAATCAGTTCGTGCACAAAACAAATCAGCTAAAGTGAAGGCAAGAGTAGTTACTTCAACATTTGGTTTAATTTAAAAACAGATTAATACCCATATTCTTTGGTTCTTTCGGTAAGGTCACGTAGATAGAAAATTTATAATAAAGAGAAAATGAAAAAAAATACTGTTGCCTAGTTCATAATCGGAGTGAGTGTACTGGCAGTCTACAATGCAAGGCCGTAATTATAATATATATTCAAATATGCTCAAAATGTCCCCCCCCAATATATTGCTATAAAAAATATTTTAAAAACTAATAATTGCGATGCTATGTAAATAAAAACAATATGCTAAACCTTGGCCACAATATCTGGACTTGTCTTTATATAACAATGCATAGATTTCTGTTTATATGATTGTGGTTATGGTTGTACTTTATGAATCCCTAATCTCTGCCATTACATACAATGAAACAAGAAAAGGTTAAAAAAAACAGAGCAACATAATATAATAAACTATTAGACATTATTGTAAAAAATAAAATAAAAAGTCCATCTCATGTGTTAGTGAATTTTTTTATATTTTAGGCAGGAAATTAGTTTCAAATTTCGATTTTTTCTGGGGGGGTACCCCCAGACCCCCTGGAAGATTTGGTCCCCCCAATGTTCACTCCATGGCTACGGCCTTGCGACAATGTAGACTGTAGCCTAGCTATTATATTAAGTGAGTGTACTAGCAGTCTATAATGTAGACTGTAGCCTGAAAAAATGAATAAATAAACCCACGACGTTTCGCTCATAACACAAGCGGTCGTCATCAGGAAAAGGGGGGTTAGCCTCTAAAGGCAAACTGTTTATATAAAGGTTTCGAGATGGGCGTAGCCCAAGTGTCTCAGCAGCACCAGCAGCATGGGTGGGGCAGCTGATGCCAATGCAGGAGAAAACAACGACACTGGCACCAATCATTTGAAAGATGTCATCAACCACTTTGGGTCATGACTTGTGTTTTCTTGTCAATAAACTTCCACCGTCAGCAGCGTGGTGTGTGGAGCAGGGTACAGTGATTGCCTGGTGGCCCTTTGGTGTAGACCCACTGCCGGTACCGTTGTTGTCTCCTGCATTGGAATCAGCTGCCCCGCCCATGCTGCTGGTGCTGCTGACACACTTGGGCTACGTCCATCTCCAAACCTTTATAAACTGTTCGCCTTTAGAGGCTAACCCCCCTTTTCCTGATGACCGCTTGTGTTGCGATCGAAACGTCGTGGCTTGTTTTCAGGCTACAGTCTACATTATAGACTGCCAGCACACTCACCAAGGTTAAGAACCAGGCTACAGTCTACATTATAGACTGCTAGTACACTCACCGAGGTTATCTACATTATAGACTGCCAGTACACTCACCCAGCTTAATAACCATTGCTACAATATACATTATAGACTGCCAGTACACTTACTCCGATTAAGAACCAGGCTACAGTATTATTATTTTATTCACTTTATTTTTATTCTTATTTTTCTATCTACGTGACTTTACCGAAAGAACCAAAGAATATGAATTCCTGCAGTCACAAAAGTTTTAAGTCAAAAGATTAACACCCAGTTTTACAATTTCAAACACGTCTTGCAGACCAAGAGAAGGTAAAAGTAATGGTGATGAAAAAAATTACTCTCAGATGGCCGTGTGTTCAACGGAATATATCAGAAAAAATATGTTTTTTACATGGAGAAACAAACATGGGAAGAAGGCGGACTGTCTGCTAATTTCAAAACTGGGCTGGCTATGGGTCCAAACGGGATTGTGAGGTGTCGCGTTAATGTGGTCAATGTTTCTCCACGTGGTCACAGCGGGCTTAGTGTGGGCTCTGCACTGACCTCGTTCCTACATCTCCTCCGCGCTCCTCGTGCGGCGTGAAGGAGCAGCACGACAGGAGGTTAAGGGTCATCTAAGAGGTTTAATGCAACACAGGACAATGTACATTTGATTCTGGCCTCACTCTGCAAAACATTTCATAGTGTACTTGGATTTCTTCCAGTGTGCTTTATCGATACAGTATTATACCTTTATTATAGTCATAGTTCACCTGTTACATGGGACATACGAGTACGGTAAATACACACGCGCGCACAAGGCGTGAACTCGTGACGACGTCGTCCACTGATACCCCCCCACCCCCCACAAAGCCACAGTGCCCCCTCCGCCCCTCACCACCCTTCAGCAAGCCACTGCCTCCCTCGTCCACAGTTCCCTCTACCCGTGCTCCATGCTACGATGGTGGCGGGGGCGTCCGTTTGATCCGCTTTGTGTTTACATCGCAAGCCAAGTCTACACACTTAAAAATATAAAATACGAGAGGTTCGTTGGCCTCGGCTCGTGGGGCCAAAGGCGCGATGCCGGGAGATCGCGGTCCCTCTCGTGGCATGATCGGGGAGCAGCGAGCGCCGTGGCTGTCGACTCAATCGGTGGAGAGGATGAGTGCACAGAATCGGACTTGCGGGGAGTGTGCCCAACGCAGCAGAGCACGTTTCAAATGCACGTGCACCTCGGCATTAAAGAGCTCCTCTCGTTCTGTCACGAAAACGGAACGAGGCCAGATCGCAGAATGAACCAGAGCCGCTTCGAGAAACCTCCCAGGAGGTGAGGGGATGGTCCCAAAACTTAAAGCTTTTAAAACAGGGCCCTGACCAAACATCCCAATGCTGAAACAAGCCCTGCAAATGACTCAACTGGGATTAGACATTGCATTGTCGCCCACGACTGCGAAAACCTGGCAGGACCCTCCTGAAAAAGAGTCTTGAGACTCGATCAAGCTTCCTGGGTAGATGAACATAATATGAATAAAAATTAATACTTTTTCGCTGGCAAATATCAATAAAATACCAAATTTTCAGGTCTCAATGGGAGCAAAGTGGGGAGCATCTGGCCCATTGCCCCCTTTGGATCCACCACCAGAACAAACTGGGTGAACAATGCAAGAAGTCACTGCTCACGGGAGATGCTGCATCCCTTCCACGTCTCTCACCCTCGCCCATACATCTCCCAGCGTGTGCTCAGCCATGTGGGATGTTTCCCATGATCTACGCCTGGGTCCGATTACTCGGAACTCGCCACCTCCACTCCCATCGCTCCCCAGTCTCACACCCTGTCCAGCACGTCTCTCGAACGTTACAAAAACTTCAGACACGGTACAGCTTGCTCTACCGCATGGTTAAAAACACCTCATCGTTTCATTGAGCCGTCGATAATGTGGTAATATGATGGCTAATACGTTTACACCACAGTATTTGAAATTAAATGTAAAGTATCTTCTATGAGTTGTCTACATGGGTATGCGTTCATAGATTACACAGACTAGGGACACTTAAACACAGGACTGGGGGAAAAGCGGGGTTCATTTGAAGCCCAGATGGTTAACCCCCTTGTACTGCATCATATCAAACAGTGCATCTTACTCAGAAATAGCCCTAAAAAGTACACGGCACATAAATGCTTAAAAAAACACCAATATTAGTGGTGAGAGGTGCTCCCCGAGTGATTACGAATCGAGTCACTTCCCACGGTTAAACAACGCCAGCTGTGTGCAACCACGGACTGCCTGTGACAGCAGCGTTGGACCAAGCAGTGCGGTTGCTGCTGCTGCCGCCGGTGTAACCATAGCAAATGCACGTGGCAGCCTCTAACACAGATTCAAAGCATTTCTTGCTGCACTGGGAAACATCGATGTTTCGTGATGACGGGACTCTTTCTCGAGAAGAACTCGTCGTGGGGAACAACACTCGTCGCTGTGAGGTTGGTTTGTCCACCTGTACGAAAAACGTGTTGCCCGGGTTGAGTCAAAGAGCAGGAAAGTGTGTCTCAGACCCCGTGCGGAGTGGAGAGACAACGTTCCTGAATCCCCCGCCATGGGATTTGTTTCTATAAACGTTTAACATAAATGGCACGATACGGTGGTGTAGGGGCACGACATGGTAAATGGTGAATATTGTATAAGCAACCAAAGATGCAGTATATACATTGTGTATTTTGTGGTTAAATGTCACCGTTTCCCATTGACGTTTAATCATATTCTGGAGTTAGAGCAGGAGATTACCGTGTCGTAACTAATTTGCTTCTATGGAAAAAACACGTATTTTCTGCTTGGGAGGTTTCCGTTTTCAAAGGGCTGTGTGCGAGTGGGACAGACATGCATGAGCAGACAGTACTCGCTCGCTCGCGTCGTGTCCCTAGGTGACTCGATGTATCCATGTGACTCGCCGCATGTTCTAACCATCTGCCAAAAAGGTATGCTCGGCTTGACAGACCTCGTCAGTGCAGCCAGCGGCAGCGCCGCGCGGCCCGCCCGCCCGCCCGCCCCGTCACTGCACATAGTAGAGCCAGTAGACCGCGTTGAAGAACCCGAAGGTCACGGGGAAGATCACGCGCGACCACTTGTCGATGGCGTTGACGTTGCTCAGATCCGGAATCTTGATCTTGAGCTGCGAGGTGCGGCGCTGCAGCCGCGTCTTCTTAGCGCCACCCTGGCCACGCTGCAGCGTCCCGCGGCCCCGCTCGCCACGGGCCGCCCGCTCCAGCGTCTCGCCGCCTCCCTGCACCGGCTTGCGCAGCTGCACGCCGGGGTGGTGGTGGTGGTGGTCGAGGCCCAGGCCGGTCGCACGCGGGTCCCCGGGGAGGCCGGGGTGGCCATAGCCAAGCGGGGAACTGCGGGATTCCCCCACGAGCGCTGAGTGGCTGAGACCCAGCGGGGTGTTGCGCATGTCGCTCGGCAGGCCCGGGTAGCCCAGGCCCAGCCCCATGCCCCGCATGTCGCCCGCGAGGCCCGGGCGGTCCAGGGAGAGGCCGGCGGCTCGCACGTCGCACACGCCCTCCCCACCTGGGCCACCCATCTCGTTGCGGATCTCCAGACTCGTAAGCAGGATGTTACCGTGGGCATCCACCTGCGGCGAGCAACGGCCATCACGCCCAGCGAGCGATTTTCAACTTTCACGTTTTTCTTGTTTAATTATTCGGTGAGAATTCAAGAAGGCAGGATAGGCTCTCATTGCAACGGTGAGTTGAGTCACCACAACGAAAAAAGCTAAAAATTAACAGAGTTCAGCAATGAAGCAAATATAAATCAGAACAGAGACGACAGAACAAATTTAAACTACTTCACAAACGAATGGGAACACGAATGTGAATAGACTTTCTGTCTGGAAAATTAACTCTGACAAATGCCTTGGAGTGTTGCGAGTGTCGATAGAAAATTCAGCTCCTGTGTTGCTGTGTGGACCAACTACAATGCAACTACAATGCACTTGCAACAACTACAAGTGGATGGAAACAAATTACCAAACAATACAACTCCTTCATAAAAGATTTGTCTCTCTAAACAGAGATGCTTTAATACACATCCCATGAGCCACGTGGTTTTCTAAGCGTGCAAGTGGTCAGCAGCATTGTTTAATGCAAACCATTTATCATATTTTGCTACTAACAAAGGAGGTTCCAATGGTTTATATGTTAACCCCGAGCTCTGATAACTCTGATGGTGCATTGCCTTTGAGTTGTGCGCCTTTTGGCCTCATCTGGTCCAACACCATGTGAGACGAGGCTCTAAGGAAAGCTGTCTCGGGTGTGGGCCAATCAATTTCAAGGACAGTGCCAATACATTATCAGAGTTATGTTTTTTGTTTGCATTCCGACCGCAGGTATTGTGGTCAATGCAAACATAACTCCTTGTAAAAAAGGTGTCAGTTTTGTTGCCAGAAAAAGGGTAAAAAAACAATTATCATTCAGCATCTCGTCAACTTATGCATTTAATTGTTTATATTCCCCGCGATGATGCCGTTTATTATTTGATTGTAAGTCGGGGATCTAAATCAAAATATGTGGCTACATATTTGCAATGATCAGGCAGAACTGGCCGCACTGGGTGGGACACTCATTGCACATAAAGTGTTTTCCACAAATGAACCGCAATACCTTGCTGATCTCGTCAAGGAGCTTAGTCTAACAAGCGAACTCCGGTGATCTTCGCAGCAGCTATTGGCTGGCCATTTAACATAGACGGTCACTGCATCGCGCACTTTCAGATGCACTTCTGCGCCGTCTGGAATGCTCTTCTTTCCATTATTCGGAAGCCACTGGAGCTATAAACTTTAAAATCATCTAGATTGAAAAATATTTTTTTCTACTGATTTTTATGTTTAGTTTGTTGTCCTTCCCCGGCACCTTTGATGAACAATTGGATACGTACAGTGTGAATGGAGGAGAGCCAGATGCCCAGATAGGCATTGGAGTGGTTACTACGAGTCCGGCGACTTAAGAGTAGATGGAGTTGGTCTACTGTAAGGATAGATCTATGAGTACGCGTAGCTCTCTGTGTGGATCTACTGGCCTCTGTAGGAGTCTATAGGTCTCTGTATGAGTCAATGGCGCTCTGTGTGGGTCTTTTGGTCTCTGGGTGAGTCTTTAGATCTCTGTGGGAATATATTTGCCTCTGTGAGTCAAAGGGCAGATGGTGTGGGGAGACTGTCAGGGCAGATCTTGGAGGTCACCACTCATCTCCTGTGCAACAGCCGTGGGATCTGGCTCAGGGTGGAACACATCGGTAGCTCGGAGGCATGGTGGCACCAACGACTTTGGCTAAGATGACATCTCGATTTTGAAAACCAAACTTTACTAAAATTCCCTGACGCGCGCGACATACCCAACTTGCGCCACCCTGGCACTCGTAGCCGTCCCGCGGCCCCTCACCTTGCTGGTGTCGGCGGCCCGCGGCTTCTCATTGTTGGCTCGAGCGATCCTCTCGGCCGCCTTCTTGGCGCGCTGAGGCCCGCGGCCGAAGAACAGATAGTTGACGGCGGCGTACTCAAGCAGCGCCAGGAAGACGAAGCAGAAGCAGCCCATGAGGTAGATATCGATGGCCTTGACGTATGGGATCTTGGGCAGCGTCTCGCGCAGGTGAGTACTGATGGTGGTCATGGTGAGCACCGTGGTGACGCCTGCGAGGAGGAAGCGAGTTCAGCAGAATCATTGTTATTCTGCTTGTTTATCTAGGAAAGCCTCCTGCTTTTCCAGGAGGGTCCTACCAATAATTTGCAGTCGAGGGTGACATTGCTGCCATGTGTGATTTCAATTGAGTAATTTTGTGGATAATTTTTCAGCAATGAGATGTTTGGCCAAGATCAGTTACGTTGCATGTGTTTAGCTATGGAAATAAACTGGAGGACCAGGAGAAAAGCCACGCAGAACAAGAGGAGAACATACAAACTCCACAAAGAAAGGTGCCCAAGTGAGAAATTTAACCCATTCACTTTTTGCTGTGAGGTGCAAGTGCCATCACTGTGCAGCCCTGTAGGGCAGTTTGACAATGCATCTCAGAAATTATTTGAGAAATAAAGCATTTCTCCTATTACAGAAACAAAAACGATGATGATGCGCCATGGCAGGCATGGGTGTGGTTCACACAGTGGCAGTGTTTCCATTGCATGCCAAGTCGACAGCAACAAACAGCAATGTCAAAGTCTTGATTTGCACAATAGCTTGGGGAACACGATGATGCGAGGAGGGAATTACAAAGTGAAGCAGTGTGAGGGAAGATGCAGAAAGAAAGGTGCAGTGACCTGCAGTGTGGTGGGTGAGTGAGTGAATATGTTGTTGTGATTCTGCAGCAGTGTGGTGGGTGAGTGAGTGAATATGTTGTTGTGATTCTGCAGCAGTGTGGTGGGTGAGTGAGTGAATATGTTGTTGTGATTCTGCAGCAGTGTGGTGCTTTAATGCAACATGGATGAGACAAAATGATCAGTCTGGTAGACTTGGTCCTATCTACGTGACTTTACCGAAAGACCCAAAGAGTATGGGCATAGTAATCAATGAGTCAGGTTCATGGGGACAGTGACCGCCATAGTAGCGAAAGAAGAGTGACAAGAAGGTGACTTCGGTGAGCGATTGGAGTAAATCAGTGAGTGCTGGATCATGAATCACACTGACTGCTGCTTTACTCTGAATTCTATCGGATGCAGCAGTGCGGTAGGAACTGGGCTCTCCACCCTAGATGTGACAGCTGCAGCAGAATTCCATCTCAACAGGATTCAGCCACACGTGTGCTCTGTGCAGCAGCAGTGATCATTGTTGAGAGTTAAAGAGGAAAGTTTCAGCACAGAAAAGGAAGCTAAACAGAAAACGCTGACACAGACTCCTGTCCACGAGCACCTCGCATGCTGGGCAACAATCCACACGCAGCAGTGTCTGTGAGTTTTAAGCACTTATATAACAAACGCCTATTCATGCAGCAAAGTAACACTGAGTAGTCTGAATACCTTTTTTTTGGAAGGTACTGCTACATAGGGATGTTTGGCCAATACAAATGATGTTGTGGGCGTGTTTAGCTATGGGAGGAAACTGGAGAAGCTGGAGGAAATCCGTGTAGAACAGGAGGAGAACGTAAAAATACACACTGAAAAGCGCCTGAGATCAGGAATTGACATTAGGCCATTCTTGCTGTGGGGCACGAGTGCTGCCCCTGCGACGCCGCCGATGCCGTGCTGCCGCCCTGGCGTGCGGGTGACCATGGTAGGACTGTGGTGTGCCATCATACCCAGAGCGACACGTGCGGCGGACGCGTCGTAGTTGATCCAGAAGGAGACCCAGGAGAGGATAGTGATGAGGATCGTCGGCATGTATGTCTGCAGGATGAAGTAGCCAATGTTTCTCTTCAAGCGGAAACTCAGGGACAGCCGAGGGTAGGAGCCTGTGTCCAGCACAAGCACACGTCATCGCGCATTATCGTACGTCATTCCACCAAGTTTTGGCACAAAACTGTGCAATTGACACGAGTTGGCCGTACTAATTGTGCTGCCGATCCTCGTGCGAGTCACGAGCGGGTCTCACCGGTGGCGAACTGCACGTTGCGCGACACCTGGTTGTGCTTGACAATGGTAAACTGAGGCAGCTTAATCTCCCCCACGCCCGTGATGGCCGTGTCGCCTCCTCGCCAGTAGAATTTAATGTCTTCCGTGGTGTAGCCGTCTGGAGAACGTACGCACAGAAGTACACGTGTGTGCTATGCTAGAGTACGCGTGCGGGGTACAAGAGTACGCATGTCGGATGTTTACTGGACATGTCTCTATGTCAGGAAAAAACGGTGATTATTTTTGTTTAATAAAGCAATTTGTCGTCTCACTCACAGCTCTCGATCTCCAAGGTACAGTTCTGTTCATCGAGGGGGTATCGCCGCAGATCCATCATGCAGGCCGCCGTGGTGGTGATTCTGAGACAGGGGTGTATTAGCGGTGCTGTGCTCGCCCACGTATGCACGCGTTCGCAGACACAGGCGCTGTCACACGCTCTTCTTAAATACGCAGTGAGCGGTACCCAGTGGCTCACCAACAGAATATTGCAGGTTCAAGTCCAGATTTGCTCGACAAAATGAGCAAAAGTAGTTATCCTATGGATAGACTCACGGCCACGATAGGAATGTGGAATTTCCACCGCTGGATCTGTATACTCTAAACAGGAGATATACACTGACTCAAGGCTCATTTGAGCAGCAGGAAATCAGTTGGACATTTTAGTAGACTGGAAAAGACAGGTGACTAGTCCCTACAGTCCTATAATGGATGTGGTGTGCCGGATGCGGGTATATTTTTTGGTTTTAACGGGTTGAGATGAAAGTCGCTTGCAACAGCCAGTGCGGCGGTGACGCGAAGGACGCGAGCAGCGCAGGGCGCTGCTAGAGGAACACGCGCCGGGGGCCAATGCCCAAGAGGACATCTGGTGCCAGGCTATGCCGCTGTGCCACCCCAGGGACCCCCTTGCAATGGAGATGTCCCATCTCAAGAGATTATGCAGGTGGTAATGTGACCTGGGTCAGCTCCACACGGAGACCCCTAGTCCCCTGCACACGCAGGCGCTGCATTCGTTTAGCTAATTAGTGGTACAATGGCGTGTCCGTTTGTCCTTGATGGGTGCTAATGCAAGGCTCCTGGGTTCAATGCGACACAGCGTCACAAGGGAGAATGCGCCAGTCAAGTGAAGCACGTTGATGTTGCTGTTTATATTGAACTATCAATCATTTAAATATAACTACATGCGTCCATATAAGATAATGCGTGATACGATCTAATTTCACGGGGTGTAGGGACTGGTCAGAGCTTTAAACCTTGTTAATGTAAATGTGCAGCGTGATGTCCTGCTACTCGCCCTGAGCCATATCGAGGCATCGATGCTTATCTCCTTTCACAGCCCTGGAGAGCCAGTGGTGTAATTCCACATCCCTATGTCAGGGATGAGTCTCTGTGCAAAACAAACGATGTTGACTTCCCCACAAAGTGGTGCTCATTGTATGGACCCAGGGGGGATAATGGGCTGAGTCAACCCTCCCCCCCACAACCAGGATTGAACTCGCAACCATCCGATTGTGAGCTGCTCGCTCTACTGCTGAGCCACTCGATCGTGCCACACTTATACACGGTCCAAAAACTCAACACATTCGTCAAGAACACTGTTGCCTTAAAAGAAAACAATATAGAGTATAATTGGTGACGTTTCATACAATGACCCTTCTTCATCACAGCCAGAGTGAATAATACTGCAATGTACGCCATGGGGCCCAGTTCAAAATTAAATAAAGGATTAGCATAATGTATAGTGAGCTCACCTCACAGCGAACAATACGTTTAACCACTTCGTATGATAATTCCTCTTAATTAGTGTTGAGTGGTAACTGCACAGCAACATGAACATTCACAGGAAATGGATATATCATTCCGGTTTATAAATGCATCACTCAAAATTGCATACATTCAACTGAGACGGTTCTTGCCCCGACTCCCTGCGAACTCTCCACCCACGTGCTCTGCTCACGCACTGCTGCTGCGGGCACAGCTGGCTGACCGTCGTTGTCCCGGGCCCTGCCCCCGTGACTCACCTGAGGCCGTAGAGTACCGTGCCGTCGGGGTGCAGGCGGATCATGCGGTTCTTCACTGTCACCACGTGCACAAACGACTTCTTGTCGTTTAGGAAATAGGTGTCGGGCACCCAGAGCTGGTCAGCCACGCGGTTATCGAGCGTGAGGTTGAGAGGAATGTCCGTGTAGGAGAGGCGCTTGTCCTGCCAGTACTGTTGGAAGTACATGGTGATGGTGTAGTCCTGGGGTGGAGAGAGGGGAGGGGAGAATGGAGACGCACATCGCTCTTGTTCCACGTGTGCCCACCCACTAAGGACATGCTTCACGCACAGACGACACAAGGCGCACGCTAAATATTTCTTTTAACACGGTTGCTGAACGCAGGCCCAAATACCCAAAACGCCAAGCAGCTAGGAACAAACAGCAATATCAAAGTTGTAATCGATAAATAATTTCCACAGTTTTTTTATTTTCACGAGCTTGTTAAATCAGAGCTTTGGGGACAAGAGTCGATGTGAGAGGATTCCAAGATGGAGCAGGATGGGGGGAAAATCAGAAAGAGAAGGGCTGTGACCTGCAGTGCGGTGGTGGTGGTGGTTGACTACAGAGTAGAGAGGTCGGGTTCACCGAGTCCTCAACGTCGGACAAGTGCAACGTGGAGGCGACCGGCCGCCGGTGACCGAATAAGCCAGGTGGAGTAAATCCGCGAGTGCTGGATCATCAATCACTCTGGGACGGAGGGAACGAAGGAAAGTCACTCACCATGTTCACCTCGGACACCATATCAATGCTCGCGATGTCAATGTTCATTCCCACAGCCACGGGCGTCCCTAGACGTGGGCACCCGGACCAACAAACAAAGACAGAGATCCCCTCATAGCCTTAACAGACTGTTGGGGCAAGTGCTGTTAGCCAGCACACGTGAAAGCCGACACCACAAGAGGGGATGGGTGACGAACACCACGCCCGGCCGCCTTTGTCTCCCGAGTGGCAATGTTTACAGATCTCACCAGGTACTCATTTGAGGCTGAGTCGACCTAAGGAAGGCCCAGAACCGCGCACGAACATACACATAGAAACGCACGGGACACACACAGATGCACGCGTAGATATACAAAGCAAACATCGCCCGTGTAGCCTACACAGGCTGTTTGGGCAAGTGCTGTTATCGAGCACCAATGAATAATGGCAGGGTGCACAAGGGAGTGGTGTGGTCAGTACGACGCCTGACCGCCTTTGTCTCCCCTTGTGCTGCTGTTTACACCACTGCACTAGGCACTCATTTAATATGGAAGTTTGAGGACTCGTTAAGATAATTACTCCTTATGTTATCAGAATAATTATTTAAACTGGATGGAATCCGATGAGCTATGAAGCTCTTTTTCATGGATGTCCAATATAGGCATGGTCAGGATTCGAGCTACCGGGTTCTTAGAGCATTGTGCTCAAGAGTACACTACCGCTTCTAAATACAGTACACGTAGCCACACATACCACGCATAACACACGTGTCCGTCGTGTCGATATTGCTGTTTCTGTTATCACCCGCCCCGACTGTATCAGGACCAAGTTTCTCACTCCAGACTCTTGGTGGACAGCCAGAGCGAGAGGTACACTTAATGTGGTATACCGGCTGTGCAAATGCACATACAGTGAGGGAAAAAAGTATTTGATGCCCTGGTGATTTTGTACGTTTGCCCACTGACAAATAAATGATCAGTCTATAATTTTAATGGTAGGTTTATTTGAACAGTGAGAGACAGAATAACAACAACAAAATCCAGAAAAACGCATGTAAAAAATGTTATAAATTGATTTGCATTTTAATGAGGGAAATAAGTATTTGACCCCCTCTCAATCAGAAAGATTTCTGGCTCCCAGGTGTCTTTTATACAGGTAACGAGCTGATATTAGGATCACACTCTTAAAGGGAGTGCTCCTAATCTCAGCTTGTTACCTGTATAAAAGACACCTGTCCACAGAAGCAATAAATCAATCAGATTCCAAACTCTCCACCATGGCCAAGACCAAAGAGCTCTCCAAGGATGTCAGGGACAAGATTGTAGACCTACACAAGGCTGGAATGGGCTACAAGACCATTGCCAAGCAGCTTGGTGAGGTGACAACAGTTGCTGCGATCATCCGCAAATGGAAGAAACACAAAAGAACTGTCAATCTCCCTCGGCCTGGGGCTCCATGCAAGATCTCACCTCGTGGAGTTGCAATGATCATGAGAACGGTGAGGAATCAGCCCAGAACTACACGGGAGGATCTTGGTAATGATCTCAAGGCAGCTGGGACCATAGTCACCAAGAAAACAATTGGTAACACACTACGCCGTGAAGGACTGAAATCCTGCAGCGCCCGCAAGGTCCGCCAGCTCAAGAAAGCACATATACATGCCCGTCTGAAGTTTGCCAATGAACATCTGAATGATTCAGAGGACAACTGGGTGAAAGTGTTGTGGTCAGATGAGACCAAAATGGAGCTCTTTGGCATCAACTCAACTCGCCGTGTTTGGAGGAGGAGGAATGCTGCCTATGACCCCAAGAACACCACCCCCACCATCAAACATGGAGGTGGAAATATTATGCTTTGGGGGTGTTTTTCTGCTAAGGGTACAGGACAACTTCACCGCATCAAAGGGACGATGGACGGGGCCATGTACCGTCAAATCTTGGGTGAGAACCTCCTTCCCTCAGCCAGGGCATTGAAAATGGGTCGTGGATCGGTATTCCAGCATGACAATGACCCAAAACACACGGCCAAGGGAACAAAGGAGTGGCTCAAGAAGAAGCACATTAAGGTCCTGGAATGGCCTAGCCAATCTCCAGACCTTAATCCCATAGAAAATCTGTGGAGGGAGCTGAAGGTTCGAGTTGCCAAACGTCAGCCTCGAAACCTTAATGACTTGGAGAAGATCTGCAAAGAGGAGCGGGACAAAATCCCTTAGATGTGTGCAAACCTGGTGGCCAACTACAAGAAACGTCTGACCTCTGTGATTGCCAACAAGGGTTTTGCCACCAAGTATTAAGTCATGTTTTGCAGAGGGGTCAAATACTTATTTCCCTCATTAAAATGCAAATCAATTTATAACATTTTTGACATGCGTTTATCTGGATTTTCTTGTTGTTATTCTGTCTCTCACTGTTCAAATAAACCTACCATTAAAATTATAGACTGATCATTTCTTTGTCAGTGGGCAAACGTACAAAATCAGCAGGGGATCAAATATGTTTTTCCCTCACTGTATGGCGTGGTAGTGGCAGTTATCAGACATGTGCAGGCCTCTGGCGATGATACGCACAATCAGCTGGTCGATCGAGAAAGAGACCGCGTTTACTGAACTAAGTCCAAGGGTTAATACACCCACTCGCAGTATTAACCAGGGCAGACTTTCACAGAAACGAACCGCGAACCTCCGTAGCAATCGGTGAACGTGCTAGCCCTGGGCCCCAGCTCGCACGCCAGATCGCGATTTCGTGTAAGCGGGCCTCACCGCCAAAGTCGGGTCGCAGCCGAATGTCGTAACCCTTGAGCAGCTTGTCCACGGTGTTCTTCACCACGGACACGTTCCTGGGACTCACGCTGCGCCGGGCGTGCCGGTGAATTCGTGGGTATGCAGGGTGAATGCATGGGAGTGTGTGGGGTGAATGCATGGGTGTGGGTGGGTGAATTCGTGGGTGTGCGGGGTGAATGCATGCGTGTGTGTGGGGTGAATGATTGGGTGTGTGGGGTGAATACATGGGTGTGGGTGGGTGAATTCGTGTGTGTGCGGGGTGAATTAGTGGGTGTGCGGGGAGTGGTGAAGGGATGGTGTGCGGGGTGAAGGCGTGGGTGTGCGGAGTGAATACGTGGGTGTGGGGGGTAGGCAAGACCAGAATTATTCACGGGTAGATTGCACTTGGACAATCGATAACGTAACCATGTCATTATTATAACACAACGAAGCCAACGTGGTGTTATTTTAACGTAACACAAAACACGCGCAGACGAGACGAATGGAAATGGTGGCTTCTAAGACGCGGGTAGAGGCGGGATGGGATCTCTGTGTGCGAGGTTCATCAGCGTTCACGAGACATGGAGGCGCGATGTCGGAGCAGACTAATGTCTCTGTTCCCATTATCCTCGCGGACACTGAGAGGCAGTACAATGTTTGTCCGTTGTTTCACCTTCATCAACTCACGCAGGGCACAATGTGACACCACCCAGCCCGCTCTCTCTCCCTCTGAGCTCGTCCATTGTTTAATGAACGCTCATCACAATCGTCAATTCACAATGTGGCTCTACAAGGATACAACATATATACATAGAGCGACGGTTTGGGAAATGGTCATTCTTCATGAACGAGTGTGAGCGTGAATGAAATATCAGATATTGTTCAGCGTCAACATCCACGCTAATCGCTGGGTTACAGACTATATACACTCTACATCTACACTCTACATACACTGCCACAATGCTAGCGATGTGATATATAGAAAAGCATTGATAATTATATGAATGCCTCTAATAGCTGTAGTGACGTCGAGTGCATTGTTCCGCTGTAGGAACACCGTGGCGTGACAGCGGCGGTGCTGCAGCGCCTATCCCGTGGTGCCACATCACGGTATCCGTGGCGACAAATCTGCGCATTGGTGAAGGGGGTGAACACATTGATCGACCCTTTCGTCCCCGTGACTCGAGCACGCCCTATATGCCCGTGCCCTGAACCCCCTCGATCCCCTTGGTCCCACTTGACCCCCCTCGGTTCCCTCGTTTCCCACCTCAGAGTCCCGCACGCAGCCACGAGTAGAACCGTGGTGAGTGGCCCGTCCAGGCAGCTCCACGCGCGGCTTCCTCGCCCCATCACGGCTCGCACCCGAACCCCGCGACCTCCTCCTCCTCCTGTGTCGCCTCTTCCTCCCTTGTTTCTCCTGATGTAGGCGCAGTCAGGCGTGCGTCCTTGGGCGCATTACAGAGCGAGAGATGCGATCAGAGGCTTCTGCTGCTTCGACGTCAAAATCTCACGGCCGCCGTCGAGAGCCCTTGGTGCGCGACTCGCAGAGAAAATGGAGGTTCACGGTACGCGAGCGCGATCTCGCGTTGCGCAGCGCCGTGTCGACGTTCCGTGACCTGCAGCAGGAGCAGAGGTAGCAGCGGCGCTTCGCATGCGGATCCTGCAGCAAAAGCAGCAGAGAGAGAGATGGGAGGGGCGGGGCGGGGGGGCGAAGATCCCCCAACCTCACCCCTCGCTCCTTTATCCTGCACACTCACATATTCATCTCACACACTCCTACCCCGCTCACAATCCACACGTACAGCACACCCCCATACTCCACACAACCCACACAAATACCACACACCACCACTCTCCCACACAACTCCCCCCCCCTCCTACACACACACCACTACCCTACACAACCCACACACCTCTACGCTGCACCACATGCCCCGACCGTGGGAACCCTAACCTTCGCTCGTGCTGCACGTGTGCTGCTGCTGATGCTGCTGGTACTGATTCTGGTGATGCTTACAGGCGGATCGTGTTCTCCCTGCGATTCACACGAACACCCAGCGTGCTCATTGTTTTTTTCGATAAAGTCAGGTATGTAGAAATACAATAAAAGTATATTAAAACAATCACGACGTTTCGATCACAACGCAAGCGATCTTCATCAGGTGATCAACGCAAGCGATCTTCATCAGGTGATCTTCATCACGTGATGAAGATCGCTTGCGTTGTGATCGAAACGTCGTGATTGTTTTTTGTTTGAATGTAATTTTATTGTATTTCTACATACGTGACTTTACCGAAAAAAACAATGAGTAATTTTATGCAGTCACGAAAGCTTTAATACTTTATCCAGCGTGCTCCCTCGGAGCGGTGACACGGCACAGCAGTAGCGAGTTCGCCCGCTTGTTGCACAGGTTCACGGTTCGAATCCAACGGCCGCTCTGGTTATTGCTACGAGTGTTTACCATAATACATGCGCCGTCTGCTTTACAGTGGGTATCTTTTGCAAAATCATGTCATTGCGTGCCGGCGTCGTAGTCCAAATTTGAAAAATTACCCACAAATGACTCATTACGATACACGCAGCACCATTGCCCCCTACTGGCAGACTACAGCTTGGTGGACCCAATGACTTCCTCTCGTTCGTCACCTTTCTGGCATTCTCTTGTTGATGCAGCCATTGAACGCGCTTACTCTGTAACACACTGCCGCTGTTCGCCTCTTAAGTTCCAGTAACGTCACCTCAGCGCATGTGCCAGGCTATGTGCGCTATGTGTCGAAGGCCGCATGAAGTGTAGAAGGCTCGCTGGCAGGCGGTCACGGTACAGACTCAGGTGCCATAGTTTGACTGAGATTGAATGGCAGATGCACCATCTGTGCTCCCCACTGTGGCACATCGCTGCTTTTTTAGCCACCCGGCGCTCCGCGTGTCACCGATGTTTGTCGTGAGCGGGAATCGAACAACTCCCTCACACACACAGCGTGGTGATACTCGGCTCTCGACACGTAGTCATTTTTGGATCCGAATGCCGCTATGGTTGGTGTTGATGCTGAGACCACCTACAGTCTAGCCTGCAGTCTACACGTGCAATATAGCCTTCGACACAACCAATCATCTGTGGAGCTTTAGCTTGGTGTTTATGTGTGCGTCCGTACGTGTTTGTGCCTGGACAAAGTCCTATCGGTGAGCTCCTCTGGCAGGCAAGGCTGCGTTGGCTGGGTCATGTAGCCCCGCATGCCCAGCCACCGCATGCCGAAACAGCTTTTGTTCGGCCGGATCGAGGGGGCTAAACGGGCGCGGTACGGGCTAGAGAGGAGATGGAGTGATGTGGTACAGGAGGACGTGGAGCTGAGTGGACTTGCCGATGACTGGTACCAGCGGTGTCAAGATCGGCCTCTGTGGAGGAGGTTCGTGAAGGACGCTGCTGGGCAGTTGGAGGCAGTCGCCCTCCAACAACAACGGAGGGCGGAGGAGCGACGCTCACAACAACGAGCGGAGCGCCGGGTGGCTAAAGCACAGCAGGTTGGCACAGTAGGAGGCACAGATGGTGCATCAGCCAGTCATCTCAGTCAGTCGACCCGTTGCACCTGGGTCTGCCCCGTGACCTCTTGCCAGCGAGCGTTCGACACTTCACGTGGCCTCAAGGTGCACATGGCCTGGCACAAGCGTCGTGGTGACGTCACCGCCACCTAGTGGCGAATGGCGGTTGTTGTTGTGCCTGTTCCGTGTCTTTGTCTTTGGGGAGCGATAAGTGTTGCAGTTAGCGCGCTACGCTACGAACCTGGCGACCCGATTTCGATTCTTGCTTATGGTCAACATCAGTGGCGAATATCTGAACTGGTCCAGGGCCTCCCCTAGGTCGACTCAGCCTCAAACCAGTACCTGGTGCGGCGTAAACATCGCCACTGGAGAGACAAAGGCGGCTCTCACCCCCTCGTGTGCCGTGCCTGCCTTAATAGGTGCTCGATATCAGCACTTGCCCGAGCAGTCTAAGGCGATATTGGGGATCTTTGTGCGTGCGCAGTAATGGCGGGCGGGGGTCATGCGAGGCTACGAGAGAGAGGGGGGGTAATTAGCTGCTTCACCACTGAGACTCGCGCCCGTCAATGGCCATCACCACCAGCAGGAGCCTCTGAGCATGATGAGCCTGCAGTGGTCGCCGGCTCGGCGTGGGTGGGACACGGGGACACGGAGCCCGTGCGCCCTCGCCTTGACAGGGCAGTGAGGCGTAGGCGAGACGTGTCAGGCATGCGGAGCGACTCGGGCCTGAGTGCGGCGTGCGTGTGAAGGGTTGTGACTGTGGGGTGAGTGTGGTGTATACGGGGTGTGAGTGGGGGGGGGGGGTGAGTGTGGGGTGAGTGTGGTGTATACGGGGTGTGAGTGGGGGGGGGGGGGTGTGGTGTATACGGGGTGTGACTGTGGGGTGAAAGTGGTGTATACGGGGTGTGAGTGGGGGGGGGGGGTGAGTGTGGGGTGAGTGTGGTGTATACGGGGTATTAGTGGGGGGTGAAAGCGGGGTGAGTGTGGTGTATACGGGGTGTGAGTGGGGGGGGTGAAAGTGGGGGGGGGGGGGGGTGTATACGGGGTGTGAGTGGGGGGTGAAAGCGGGGTGATGGTGGTGTATACGGGGTGTGAGTGGGGGGGGGGAGGGTGAAAGTGGGGGGGGTGAGTGTGGTGTATACGGGGTGTGAGTGGGGGGGTGTTAGTGGGGGGTGAAAGTGGTGTATACGGGGTGTGAGGGGGGGTGTTAGTGGGGAGGGGGTGAGTGTGGTGTATACGGGGTGTGAGTGGGGGGGGGGGGGTGTGAGTGGGGGGGGGTGAAAGTGGTGTATACGGGGTGTGAGTGGGGGGGAGGGTGAAAGTGGGGGGGGGGGGGGTGAGTGTGGTGTATACGGGGTGTGAGTGGGGGGGTGTGAGTGGGGGGGTGAAAGTGGTGTATACGGGGTGTGAGTGGGGGGTGTGAGTGGGGGGGGTGTGAGTGGGGGGGGTGAAAGTGGTGTATACGGGGTGTGAGTGGGGGGGGGTGTTAGTGGGGGGGTGAGTGTGGTGTATACGGGGTGTGAGTGGGGGGGGTGTTAGTGGGGGGTGAGTGTGGTGTATACGGGGCGTGAGTGGGGGGGGGGGCGTTAGTGGGGGGGTGAGTGGTGTATACGGGGTGTGAGTGGGGGGGGTGTTAGGGGGGGGGTGAGTGTGGTGTATACGGGGTGTGAGTGGGGGGGGGGTGTTAGTGGGGGGGTGAGTGTGGTGTATACGGGGTGTGAGTGGGGGGGGGTGTTAGTGGGGGGGGGTGAGTGTGGTGTATATGGGGTGTGAGTGGGGCGGGGCGTTAGTGGGGGGGTGAGTGTGGTGTATACGGGGTGTGAGTGGGGGGGGGGGTGAGTGTGGTGTATACGGGGTGTGAGTGGGGGGGTGTTAGTGGGGGGTGTATACGGGGTGTGACTGTGGGGTGAGTGTGGTGTATACGGGGTGTGAGTGGGGGGGGGGGTGAGTGTGGGGTGAGTGTGGTGTATACGGGGTATTAGTGGGGGGTGAAAGCGGGGTGATGGTGGTGTATACGGGGTGTGAGTGGGGGGGGAGGGTGAAAGTGGGGGGGGGGGGCGGTGAGTGTGGTGTATACGGGGTGTGAGTGGGGGGGTGTTAGTGGGGGGGTGAAAGTGGTGTATACGGGGTGTGAGGGGGGGTGTTAGTGGGGAGGGGGTGAGTGTGGTGTATACGGGGTGTGAGTGGGGGGGGTGTGAGTGGGGGGGGGTGAAAGTGGTGTATACGGGGTGTGAGTGGGGGGGGGGTGAAAGTGGTGTATACGGGGTGTGAGTGGGGGGGTGTGAGTGGGGGGGGTGTGAGTGGGGGGGTGAAAGTGGTGTATACGGGGTGTGAGTGGGGGGGGTGTTAGTGGGGGGGTGAGTGTGGTGTATACGGGGTGTGAGTGGGGGGGGGTGTTAGTGGGGGGTGAGTGTGGTGTATACGGGGCGTGAGTGGGGGGGGGCGTTAGTGGGGGGGTGAGTGTGGTGTATACGGGGTGTGAGTGGGGGGGGGGTGTTAGTGGGGGGGTGAGTGTGGTGTATACGGGGTGTGAGTGGGGGGGGTGTTAGTGGGGGGGTGAGTGTGGTGTATACGGGGTGTGAGTGGGGGGGGTGTTAGTGGGGGGGGTGAGTGTGGTGTATATGGGGTGTGAGTGCTGCGTGTGGCCGCTGTCGCCTCGCCCCCTGCTGTGCTCCCTCTCAGCTTCAGTTCTCGGGGTCCGCCCCTCAGCGTCTGATTGTGTTTCGCTCGCACAACGAAGCGGTGGACGGCGGCGCGGTCCCTGTCGGGGACACTCCAGACGGGAGACACGAGGCGGAGACACCAGACGGGACACAAGACGGGACACAGGGAGGTCGAGACAGCGAGCGAGTGAGTGATCTGCAGAGCGCCGCAGTGGAGTGCTATTCATGGAGACGCAGGGAGAGTCTCCAATCAACGCCTTTGCGAGTCTCCTGTGTGCGCTCCGCGTCTCTGTTGCGGGAATTCAGAAGCATCTGGATTCGTCGTCGCCCGGGCGGGGCTGGTTGTGTCTTCGTGCGTCGTGGTAGCGGTGTGATTTGAGCGCTGCGCAATCGATGTCGCAGTCGGAACCAGCGCCACGCGGATACGCGTGATGCTTTGCGCAGAACCAACCAGTGAGATAAAGTCACGGCACAGGTGGCTTCAGCCTCTGTGCGATCTCTTGCGCGGTAGAAGGCGAGGAGAGCAGGAGGGAGGGATGTGAGGAGATGAGCGGTTGAGAAGGGAGGTAAGCAAAGTCGATCTGGAGATTTGAGGGGTTGAGGATAAAGTCGTGTATTGTCTTTGCCTGGTGTCCGTGTGGAGCCCAGCTCCTTCCACGCGTGCCCCTCTGCGCTCTCGGCAGCGGCGCGTGGCCGGGATGAGGCTGAAGTGCCACGCATCTCACTGCCAAGGCGCCTTGATTGCGCAGATTCTATGCCTCAGCCTCTCCTGCCTGCAGGCGAGCTGCTGGTACGAGAACCCGCCCCTTCCGTCTCTCCCGTGCCCCGTACACTGCCACATACACGCGTACTGAGCAAGCCGCAGGACAAACGACGTACACAGTGCCGGATTAAGCTCGTGCGGGGCCTGTAGCATATGTTATCAAGGGGCCCTAAATAAATAAAAAGTATTAAAACACAACATTTTTACTTGCATAGTAAAGTAATTTTATTTTTTCATTTTCTATACAGCCAGATAATAGATCAGTCGCTAACCTTAAACACCCAGTCGTTCATAACAGTTGAAGGCAGGGTAGTACTATAGTAATAGAGCAAGTGCAGACTCACTGAACTGGAATTGATAGCTTGAAAGCATTGAGCGCGGGGCTCTTGAAAGTGCGGCGCCCGTAGCATTTGCTACTTTTGCTACTAGGGTAATGCGGCACTGGACGTCCACAGTCACCTGATCACTCTTCTATCGTTATTACCTCGGTGAACCCATCAACATCGCTCGTTGATTCTGCCACCCATGCTGAGGACTCGGTCTACGAGACTGTTTCGTCTCATCTACACTGTTAAATCACCACACTGCAGGACACAACTCACTCATTGTCCCACTAACTCACCCACTCACCATACTGCAAGTCACCTCACTTCTATTTTTATTCCCGTGCACTGCTCCACTTTGGAATTCCTCCCATCATCCCATCTTTAATGTCTTTATTGAACCCGCAATACGAAGGGGTTAACAAACTCATGCATGGGGAGGGAAATCCCATCATAACCTCTTTTACAAAAAGCTTCTAACACAATACCCTTGCTCAATTCAAGAAACGCGTTACACTCTTACAGATTAAAACTCTGATACTCGTGCCGTCTATTGCTGTCCGAGAACGTGTTGTCGATAACCCCGAGTATTCATGACGTGATGCGTGTGCCGTGTGTCCCATGGCGGACCTCAGCCCAGGTCAGCTGAGCTTCCCGCCCGCGCAGGGCGCCGATCAGGATGACATCGCCGTGTTCACACAGATCCTGGATCGCCTCCTTGATGGATACGACAACCGACTTCGGCCAGGGCTCAGCGGTGCAGCCCTCGCAGTGACACGCACATGCGCGACTTGTCTCCAGCATTTGTCTTATACCTATACATATGTTTATTGTTGTTGTTTATCCAGGAAAGCCTCACTGAATCTCAAGGTTATTTTTCATGAGAGTCCTGCCAGATTTTTGCCATAGAGAGCCATGTTATGCACACATCCAACTTAGAAATTTGGGGGGGGGGGTGTAACTTTTCAGCATTCTAATGTTTTTAACCAATATCAGTTAGATTGTATTTTTTTATAATGTGAAGAAACCGGAAACCCCAGAGGAAACCCATGCAGAATAGGTGGAGAGCATACAAACTGCACACAGAAAGGTACCCGAGTCGGAAATCGAACCCAGGTGCTTCTGGTTGAGGCTAGTGCCATCCCGTGGACTCCCAACTCTTCTATCTGGATGGGATAGAGTGTTTCTCCCCCACGTGCATGAGTTTTCTCTGGGTGCTCCGGTTTCCTCCCACATGTAAACACTTATTAATTGACAAATAATCAATTAACATAGTGAACCCCAGAGCTTGGGCAATTTTTGGCGCTGACTCATCATTTGGCTGCCTTCCTGCTTGTCTATGGTCCCTTGTGCCTCTGAGTCGCGCTCTCTCTTCAATAGTGAGTGAATACTGTGGGTATTACAAGTGGAAATTATAAATGATGAAAAAACAATGTCTGATTTTATGCTGAAATGAGCATGGAGGCGGTGCCCATCTTCCATTTATAGCCCTGAGCCAGTAGTGGAAATTCCACATTCCTGAAACAGGGTTAGTCTATCCACAGAACAATCACTGTTGACTTTCCCATGATGTACTTATTTTACCGCCTCCGGAGGGATAATGGGCTGAGTCCACCGCGTCAACAAGGCCCGAAGCTCACTCCCCTGCTGAGCCACTTATTCAGGCAGTGCACATATCACGCTTTTAATCTCAGCTGTATGTTTTACTTAAGACCCATCGTCTCGAGGGAGTAGACGTCTCGTATTGTTTGTATTCCCACTGTGCGAGCAGGTTGGCATCTTTAACTTATAACTCGGTGGGAATCCATTAAGACCGACGGCTTCATTCACGTGTTGGAACAAAATATGTTTGTGTCAACGTCTTACCGAAAACAGCTGAGCTATTTTCTGCTCATTTGTAAGTGAAAACGAGTGGGGAACCAGTTCTCGATATTTTCCAAATCAGCCCCACGGATCTCTGTTAGTTGAGAAGCCTGAAGTGAAATACTGAAATCGGAAAAATACAAAAATACAAATGTACAATGTATTTGGGCTTCATAAAACAGTATAAAGAACAAGTAATATGTGCGAAACATAAACCTAATTGCATGTGTCATACTTAGAGTTTGCCACACATGGTTAAAATTCTAACATGATTATCTTAAATAATGCAATAAACCCATATGAATTGTGCCAAAACCCAAATAAACATATAAAACAATAGCAGCTGTCAACATGATGGTTACATTCGGGATCACGTGGTGGTAATTTGCTACCGTTGCTGACGGCCTGTATAGCTGCTCGCCACAATTAACTTGACAACTCAACATTCTATTTCAAATCTAGATTTGATGGCATGGAATACATGATACACATCATAGCAATATCATTCTTTGTAAATAAAGACCTATTATACAAACACTGGTGACATTTTTGGCTGAATGTTATTTTTTGGGATTATGAACATACATTCGTAAGTTTATGATCTATTTTCCTGCCATCTGAGCAACCGATGTTGTCCCATGGCTCCGTGTGAATGAGGCCGAGTGAGCTGCGATGTGCGCATGGCTGCGGGCTGTGCACCCTAAACGGGTGTCCACAACTCTTCCCACAGTGAGCAGTGGCTTGCACACAATAATTTGCATCATCTTGGAGAATGTGAGACTCAAAATTTATCCCTCCACGTAGAAAAATTAGATCTTAAATATATCCCATAAATCACACGGTCTTCTGAGAGTGCACAATTTCAGTAACATTGGCCTAATATAAGCACACTTTGGACTGGTGTGGACATTGTGTCTCATCAGCAGTCAGGCTTGCTTGAACCAACGAACATCTGGCAGTTAACGGCACTGGTGTAAGCGAGCCTGACTGGGTGAGACGCTGATTGACGAGATACCAGAAAGCCATGGTGCTGATGGGATGTGTTAAACACGCTTGTGTTTGTGTTCTCTCAGGAGCCACTGAGGTGAAGACCGACATCTACGTCACAAGCTTTGGGCCCGTGTCGGATACTGACATGGTATTTATTATATTACAATATTATTACACGTAGGTTTTCGGAACAAATATACATAATAGAGGGTTTTTTTGGTTATATCAAATGTGGCTGTCGCCTGATGGCGCTTGTTATAATTAGCGAAACGTCGTACTCGTAACGAATTGGCCAAATGTTTTGTTTACGTGACAAACCTGACTAATTTGCTGTGTCGGGTGGTGGCGGGTTTAACAACACATTCATATTTATGCGATCTAACCCAAAAAAACTGTGATGGAGTATTATTACTATGGGTCGTGGGTGGAGGAGTGGAGGTGTTTAAGAAGTCGATTATCCGACCCATCTTCATTCTCGGGAATGCATTATCTTTACTAGTGATTTGTGCAGTATTTTATATATTTTTTGTAAAGTGGTTGTTTCTGCTCTTTGTTTCTTTCTATTCTGAATTTTGTTTTTTTGCTGTAATTTATCTTTCTTTATTACTGTACTTGTGATTACATTCTTGCTTGTGTCATCTTGGCTTTTCACCTGGTTAAACAAAATGAACATTAACTTAACACAACACACCGAGAGACAGGCACCACTCGATAGAAAGTAACAAAATACAAATCACAAGAGGAGCTAGGCCATGGGATTCGCTCTCACTGAGGCAATGCACAGTGACGATGAGAAGATACTTTCTGAAAATTGGATTGGAGGAATACAGGCATATACACAAACAGAAAATACTATCCCTAAAAGAGGTTTTTTGGGTTAGATCGGGTAAATATAAATGTGTAGTTAAACATGGCAGCACCTGACACAGCCAATTAGTAAGGTTTGTCACGCAAACAAAAGATGCCAATTAGTTACTAGTTCACCATACCATGGGGTGTTGGACAGTAAACCCACAACATTTACAATTCGAGTATGACGTTTCACCAGTAATTATAACCAGCCTCATCAGGCAACAGCCAGAATTATGAAGAAATCCTTTTTTGGTCTTAAATAGAGGAATAAATGTGATGTCATTGTAAGAGCCATAAGACAGAAAGTGAGTATTATTTCTGTATATATATTTGATGTACATCCGTCATACATTTGTTGACGGACTGGTTATATTTGATTTGGAATATCCCAACTGTGTAGAAACCCCCCTGTGGTTAGACGCTCCGTTGGTTGAACCCATGACATCACTTCCGGTTTTTACAGTATAAACGGGGGGGGGGGGGGGGGGGCTATGAGAAGAGCCGATGGGGAGCGAGTGGTTACAGTCTTTTGACTGTGCGACAGGATGATACAGTACTTGCGACGAAGTGATACAGTATGTGCGATGAAGTGATACAGTACGTGAACAGGCGAAGATATAACTTTAGAAAACGCTCGTTTTGTGCAACTAAGAAATAAAAAAACAGTTTGATTTAAGACACCTCAAACACGTCAGACTTTTTGCTCCCACAAGTTAAGGCGTAGCTTGTTTTCTGGTACAAGAAAGCTGCGCCTACATTAGTCGAAAGACTCCTACTCACGTGGAAGAAACCTATTCAAGTGTAGAGTAGTAGTTAGTGACGTCATGTCACGCTCGCCCTCCGGTACGATGACGTCATGTATGGTGACGTCATGGACAGGGGGCGGGACGGTGACATGTCCCCCTGGGATATTTAGGTTGGGACCCGTGACGTGTTCAAGGTCGTTGCAGGGAGCCAGGAATGTGTGAAGTTGGGAGTTGGGACCCAGGGTAGGGGGAGGGGGAAATTAGCACCAGGCTAGAGTAGCCTGGGGGTGTGCTAGGGACTTCCCCAGTACCCTTCCCCTGGGGTGTGGAGTGTAGGCAGTGAGTGTGCAGTACACGGAGTCGTGTATGAAGAAAAGTCCTTAATAAAACAACTGGCGCAAGCCCCTACATGAAGATCTGCCTCCGAGTCATTTACGCTGCAACAACTGGTGTCAGAGTGCCTGCGCTGCCGCCACCATGTCAGCATCGGGAGCGGCGCGCAAGAACCCACCGACGGGACGATCGGAGGATGAAGACGGCGTGGAGGAGGCTTCGGCAGTGACCCTGGAGTCCAGGGCCCCGGTGACGGCCCCCGAGAAGAAGAATGGGACAGAGCGGGAGGAGAAGGCGTCCGGGGGTGCCAGCGCACCGCAGCCGGGCGCGGGGAGCGCGTTCGCGGGGCAGCTGGAGCTGCTCACGCAGGCGATGGCACAGCTCTGCGCCCGAATCAACATGGTGAAGGCGTCCGGGAGTGCCAGCGCGCCGCCGCTGGGGGCGGGGAGCGCATTCGCGGGGCAGCTGGAGCCGCTCACACGGGCGATGGAGCAGCTCTGCGCCCAGATCGACGAGGTGGAGGCAAGGGTGCGCGCACTCGGCACGCGTTTTGGATGGGAGCGGTGGATTCCCGCCAACCCGCTTCCCGCTAATTTCGAGATTGGCGTCATGTTCCCGATGGGGGCGCCGCGGGAGGCGGTCGCCATTTTGGCTGCGACGCCGCTGGCGGCGACCATGTTGGTTGGGGCACCGCAGGCGGCCACCATTTTGGCTGCGACGCCACATTGTTTATGCGACGCCGCATGTCGGCGCCATGGGCGCCGCGACGCCGCTCTCCACCGTGGGTGCCGCCGCGCGCGCGGGGTCTGCTGTCGGCGACGCCGCAGCTCCGCACCACGCCGCGTCCGCCGGGGGGGCCCCAGGTACGGCCGGGGCTTCGCACCTCGCCGCGCGGTGTGGGTTGCCGCCGGCGTCACCGCGGCTCCGGAGTGGGCCGAGGGTCACGCCGCGGCTCCGCACCTCGCTGTGCCGGCGGGTTTGGCCGCACTCGCCGCCACGGCTCCACTTGTCGCCGCGGTCGTGGGGTGGGCCGCCGGCTACGCCGCGACCCCTCTTGCCGCGCCTGGGGGGTGGGCCGCCGACGCTGCCGCGGCTCTGCACCTCGCAGTGCTGCGCATTGCCGTGCCGACGCCGCGGCTACGCATCTCGCCGAGGGGTAGGCAGCAGGAGCCGCCGCTCGGGCCGGCACGCACCTTGGGTTTTGGCTGCGGAGGCGGGAGGGGGGGGAGCCTCCACTCGCCCTCCGCAGCTTACTGCTGGTGCTGCCACGAGTGGCCTACCCGGGCCTGGAGGGGGGAGCGCTGGGCTGCTGCAGCTCTCCCGGGGCCTGTCACTAGCTGGCGCAGTGCCTGGCCTGGCGGTTGATGCCACATGGGGAGGTGGGCCTGCGGTTCGTGTGCGCTTGGGGCAGGCGCTCTGTGATGACCAGACGGACCGCTGCCCTCGGCCTCCAGCCCTCATCGCCAAATTGTCGTTTTATGTGTTGTCGGGGCTGCCCAAGTGTTGTTTTGTTGTGTTATGTCTGGGCTGCCAAATTGTCGTTACCGAGTGATGTGGGCTTTGTAAATTTTACTTTATTGTTGTCGGGCTGCCCTGGTGTTGTGTTTGGTTCTGGGGGCGGTCCGTCTTCATAGCCACTTCCATGGGGTTGTCAGTTATTGTAAATGTGGTTGTTTGGGTTCCGGCGCTCCTCTACTTTTATATGCTTTACAGCCGAGTCGGCTGAATTTTTTTTCACAGGGGGGGTAATGTAGAGGAGTAAAATGGGGACGTGACGTCATGTGTGCCGTCCGGTGCGATGACGTCACGGAACGTGGCGTCATTCGCGCTGGGCGGCTCGATGACGTCATGTCTGGTCTAGTATTTAAGGGGGACCCCGTGATGAAAGCGGGGTCACTGTGGGAACGGGTAGAGTGAGAAGGGTGGAGAGGGAACCAGGGGTAGAGAGGGATCGAGTGAAGAGTCTGGGGTGAAGCCGCTGGTAGCCGTAGGAGGTGCTGCTCTTCCCGGTCGGTGGGGTTGGCAAATTCCCCCATCCGCCTCTAGGGAGAGAGACCGGAGCTAGCCGGGCTGGACCAAGACTTAGTGTAGGACCCCTAACCCCTGGGAGTTGTCACACCTTTTGTGTAATTGTAATATACTATAATAAACCTTTGGCGAAAGCCCTTACCTTCAAACCGTCTCCGAGTCATCGTCGCAAACTCCGCAACACAAGTAAAAGACTTCTACTCACGTGGAAGAAACCTACTCAAGTCAAAAGACTTCTACTCATGTGGAAGAAAGCCGTGCAAGAAAGAAGAGAGAATGCTCTTCACGTCTCACCAACAAGGAGGCAACAAGTTCGTGTCTAAGAAGAAGGTACCATTAAGTTTGTACGAGAGAAGATTGTTACCAAGCGTGAAAGACAAGCAAACGTTAATGAGTTACTGAAGCCTGCTAGTTACATAAACAGAACTGTGAGCTGTATTCGCTTTGTCAAGCCAAGACAGTGCATATTTTAGGAACGGATCTGCAAAGGTTATTTTCCTTGAATAACTCTGAGAGTTTTTGAAACCTTTTGCAACACGTTGTGCACTGAGGAAACAAGATGGCAGACGACATGGCAAAGTCAGCTACAAGGCAGCACAAAGACGCGAAGCTACGTGAGAACACGTCAAGCAGGAAAGTGCAGTGTTGGCGGGAGAGCGGCGGTGCAGGCACCTAGCCAGGGCACCTTTGGCCATATAGAGTCAGAAAAGCCTATGGAAAAGTGGATCACAGAAGTATCTGAAGATACATGTGAAGATAAGAAACATGAAGATGATGTTGATCCAGGAGACAGCATATCATTACTATCAGTTCCACGGAGCAAAAACACAAGTGAACATCGCTCCGTAACTGGAAATGACTCAATAGTTACCTCTAAAAGCTCCACAATTTCGGCACGTGTGCTAGAATAGGCAAAACACGCAGCTCTGTTAACCAAGGCAGCATCTTTAAAGAAGAAACAAGAAATCGAGCTTGAAGAAGTACAGCTGAAAGCTCAAAAGGAGCAGTTGGAATCAGAGACTGCTATTGCAGTATCCAGTGCTAAGCTAAAGGTTTTTGGAGAATATGTGGACACTGGATGGAAAGCATGAGTATTTTAAGACCAAGACAAGATCCAGCAATACCTCAGGACTGGACAAAGAGTATAGAGACAGAACATTTAAGAAAACCCAGCAAGCTCATGCTATAG